TTTTACTGCATCTACTCTAGCTATCAAGGGCATTTTTTTATAATAGTGAGTGTAGGCCTGTGTGTGTTTGTTTAGTGAATCAAAGTACTTATCCATACTACGTATACTACAGACAGTCGACAAACGTGCATAGGCCTACACTAGCTATTATAAAAAGCTGCGTTTGATAGCTAGAGTAGATGCAGTAAAATCGGTGAAATTTCTGAAATCTCACGATGTAAACAAACTCAAGTCTATGAACATAATATGTGTTGCGTGCAATCCAATTCTGCCCAATCTACGAATCTGCCGACTGTGTGGCAGCCTCATTGAACTGTAGCACCTAAAACCCACGCTGATAAACCTGTCTGGTAAATCGGGATCCTCTTACCTCTTCTTCTTCCTTCTTTCTTTTTTTCTCTCTTTTTTTGAATCTCAAAGGGGGATATTTGTACAGGCCATCCCCCCTCCTTCAAGAGCAGGGGGATGCATCCCCCATCTCCCCTGGGATTTACGCCCGTGTTAGTGACTGCGGAGCGCTGCATGGAGCGGAGCGGGGACGCGGGGTGCTCGAGGGGGGTGTCCCCCCTCGAGTTTGAAAGAAAAATGAAAATAACGCCTAAAAATACCGCATTTCCTTGCACAAATTCCTTTTCCTTTTCCACACATTTCCTTGCAGAAATAATACACATTTTTCTGTATTATATCATATTTTACTTGTTGTTGTTTCATTAAAATCATCATGATTTTGGCAGAAGAAAAATTTGTCATCATACATTCCTTCGGTACTCACATCATTTATTGGCTAATAAAGCATACCAAAAAATTACCTTTGGTTCGGGTCACCCGCCCGCTCTTCACATTTCGGAGTGAAAAATGTGCGACTGCGGTCCCTTTTAAAGGGTTTCAAAAAAAAAAAAAATCTAAGATACCGCGGATAATAGGACCCTTCTGTTCTCTCTCCCTCTCTTTTTCCCTCTTTCTCTCCCTCCTCTCTTACACACACACACACGCGCTCTCTCTCTCTCTCTCTCTCTCTCTCTCTCTCTCTCCCTTTTCTTCTCTCCTTTAAAAAAAAAATGTTTGTTTGGGACAGAGGCAAGGGGGGTGTTTAACACCCCAAACACCCCCCCCTGCGTACGCCACTGGTCATTAGACATGCGTACATCAAGTCAGTCAATGTGTCACTGTGCGTGCGTGCCCCGCGTACGACGTTACGTGCGTGCTCGTCCTGTCTAACTATCCGTACGCCTGACTATTTAGCAGGCTACCGCTTGCCTCCCTGCCTTGTTTGTCTGCCTTGGTTATTATGCTTTGCTGCCTGCATCAGCTAGTGCATGACCGTGCATGCAGAGTGCATGCATGCCTGCCGGTTTGTCTTCCTGTAGTAGGCTCGGTAGTCTTCCGGTAAAGTGAAATTACCGGTGGGAAACTCAAAAATAAAAAGGGAAACACCGATCTACATACAAAGTTTCCCGTTCATACATACCATATACATAGTGTCTCACTTAAATGAGTGGCGCCCGAGGGCTGGAACTGGGGATGACAGCCCGTTAATTCAAAAATAACTAATTTGTTGGGAACTGATTTATTGAAAATATTGAAGTCACTCTTTATCTGCTGTACTACTGCGCTATACTCACAGTAAATTCCGGACTGAGAGCTGATTTATCGGTACATAATCATATTATATGCTACTGCCAGTAAAATGAGGCCAAAAAGCAAAAAGTCAGTCTGCAGGCTGATAGAAACTGGGGATTTCCCCGGCAGGGCTGTAACCACACAGCTGCCATGAACTGTCAGATCCTGCGCATTGTCAGATTGGGGGAGCACTAGAACGTACATCCTAGCACCGCGTGCCTTCGGCACGTCTTCACTCAAATGTCAACCCCCACCTCTCTTGAAAGCTAGATTCGCCTGATATAGTCTCTAGCCTCCCAACTTGCAGTGTGAGTTTAGTGCCCCCCCCCCCACCATCACCACGTTCTCTGGCGGGTACCTTAACTATCTGTTTTGGACAATGTTGTATATTTATACACATTATATATACATTGTAATGTGTTTGTGATACATAACTGTTATACGTAATATATAATTATATACATTAATACATTCCAATGCAAAGCAATTGACCTTATAATTATAATAATGCTAGTAAAGACATCTGCGCACATTCTAGGCCATGTAACCAGTAGACAACCTGCATCATTGAATGCATGCATGTCTGTATGCTTCCTTACCCCTCTATCCCTACCTGCCTCTCTTTTTATGTAGCCCCTGACTGCCTGCTTGCCTACTTGCCTGTCTGCATGTCTTCTTGCCCGCATGCTCGATTACATGCCTGCCTGCATGCCTACCTATTTGCTTGTCTCCTTGCCTGCCTGCCTGCTTACCCGCCTCCCTGTTTGCCCATCTGATTTTCTACTTACTTGTCTGCTTGCCTTACTGGCTATCTGGCCGCCTATCTGGCTGTATAATAACATATATTTCTACCTGCCTATCGGTCTACCTGCCTGTCTACTTGCATGCCACCATCTGCCTACTTGATTGCCTGTCTGTCTGTTCCCTGGCTTGCTTGCCTGGCTGCCTGACTCGCTGCTTCCCTGTCAATATGGCGGTCTACTGGTCTATATCTGTCTGCCTGCCTATCTGTCCGAGTTTTTATCTTTCTGTTTACCTCGCTGATTGCATGGCTGCCTGCATGTATGTTTGATTGTTGTTTGGCAGCTGTAGTCAGTGCAACAATATTTTCCCTTCAGTGTTTACACATTGAGTGTGTAGGCCTACCCTGTTCAATTTCGATTATGCCCGAATCGGTTCTGGCTCTTTTGAACGACCTAAACATTTCTAGTCTCTATTGTTTAGCATAGTAAAATATAAACTTTTGTAAACAATTATGAGAGTCTAGATATAATATCATAATCCATAAGAGCAGGGTTCGAACCTCAGACTAAGATTATTACAAGCCTCAATCAATTGAATTTGAAGTCAAAATTATTTTGAAACATATATATGAAAATATAAATGTCTCCCAACACCTATTTGCTAAAAAAAACATCACAAGTGATAAATAATTTATTCAAGATAATTTGATATTAAATATTTGTTTTAATCAAATGATTAATCCTCTTGTGCCCGGGGCGCAGTGAGTATAGAAGGTGAGGTCCTTGCCTTCACGATTGAGAACGTGACCCCATGTTAGATCTCCCTATATTGCCCTGTAAATGCCGCCACACCAATATGCATGCAGACAATGATAAGTCAATAGTCAGGTCTACTTATGAGCTGACTTACAAAAATTGTTGAATTATGTTTAAAATATAAAATTCATGATTGCATTTACAGCATAATGTTAATGGACGCATATACATGATTAAGTATAGCCTTGACAAAGCATCCAGTTTGCTGTATAGCAATGTACCAAATGTGAAAGCTCGTAATTACATTTGCATCCTTTTCCTGAGATTGATGTAATTTTAAATAGGATAACATAGCCCTTAGAGACCCTTCGCTGTCAGTGCTAGCTAGTCAACGTATCTAGCGTAATAGCAGGGTACATGCCTGGTCATACACAACCGGATGCTGTAATCCTGAACGTGCTGGGCTCGGGTGTTCAATGCCACTCAGCAGGTAAGCGTAATATATTGATCGGCGGTGCGTCCACGGGTAGCCAGGGAGGCAGGCAGATGCATCTACACAGAGCATGCTCCGTCTTCGTCGTTACAGCTGCTGCTAGCCATTCGTCGGCGGCTCTGTGGTCTAGATGGATGTGTGCGCTTGTTTGTGTCTGTGATGGCAACACGGCCTCGACATCACCTTCCTGGCACGTCAACTCTTACTTGCAATTATACGCATTTTACTCGATATGTTGGACTCTAGCTAAGAAGTCGATGCTGGGCTATATTATCTTAGTGATTATAGTATTGAATTGAAGTGTTTGTGGTATCCAGGGGAGAACAATGCCTTCGTGTGTACATATTAGAGTGAGTGGACATGAAAAGATACAGGCAAGAACATAGGGAAGTTGTAAGGTAGGAAGGGTTTTCCCATGAATATGCAAAATCAACGTGTTTAGTTAACCTGTGGCAAAATTAGTATCTTTAACCGACATGTGAACCGTGGGTGTTACCGTGTATGAATAATGATTTACATGATAACAATATAATTGTCTGTATAAAACGCTATTAGCTTGTATTCATTCGCCTATTAATTATGACGTTCTGCTCATAGTGTGTTCTTGCTCGGCACAGGTAAATCCTCACTAGTGAAAATGGAAAAATATGAGAAACTGAGCAAGATTGGGGAAGGTTCATACGGGGTCGTGTTCAAGTGCAGGAATAGAGAAACAACACGCATCGTTGCAATCAAGAAGTTCATGGAATCAGAAGACGATGCTCTGATCAAGAAGATCGCACTGCGGGAGATTCGGATGTTGAAGGTGAGTCAGCTCATGTCCCTCCATCAGCTATAGTCAGAAACTACACGTGCTGCCATTGATCCCCGTGTCTGCTTCTGTTTGTTGCTAAGCATCACTAGGTACGCCGTTGGAGTCAGTGGCGTAGCGGGGGGGGGGGGCTTAGTATTTTCGGGGGGGGGGGCACGAAGTAGTATAATTTATTGAGATGTGGTTCGA